CACAAGTGATCACTTATGGGATGTTATTTTGGTTTCGATAGCTTATTTTCTAAGTAAAACATGTATTTTTGCAGCATCCGAACTGATCTTCGTACATTACTGATAAAGTAGATTGGCAAGCAAATTCAGTCAGTCAGTGTACTTTGAGAATTGGAGTACATTTTGTAACAGTGTCTTATTCTGCAAAAACTTAAAATCCACCTAAACGTTTTTGGATATATTTGTGCTCTGCGCATATTTGAGCACAATCCATAACTTTTAATCATTTTGCAGCCTCCGTCTTCAAGTTCAGTGTGAGTGTTTTGCATTGGCTACACTCATAAATAAGTTTTTTTTCTTACTGATACTTTTTATCACTTAGTTGTATTTATTTTGTTGTGTAACTTAGTCAGAGATTAAATAAAACAAGAGGTGTTTAATACCTTTGTGCTGAGGAGACCACTGAGTGACATCGCGCGCCAGGCTCTCAATTGGAATCTGAATGGGAAATAACGAGTTGGGTGTCGCTTCTTAAATAGCATAGAGAAAACCATGTGAAGACTACATGAGTAGTTGTGGATTCAGCTAGAAAATACTGTAAAGAACAGTACTCTTGAAGCCCTATGTTCCCCTCGGAACTCAAGCGAATAATAATAACACCCACACTAAGATGTATTTATCCGTTCATTAGATTTTTTTATTCCTTTAAAGTTTCTGTAGAAGTGGTGTTTTAATTTTTACAGGATAGGGATACTGGCATCATACCCAACCTTCTCAAATTACTGATCTTACTACCGGCTTAGATAGACTGGGCATCGAACCTCAGACTACATGCGGCATGGTTGACGTGCAGTCTACCTCTGTACCACTGACGCACACTTTAATAAGTACTTAACCTCTACTTGAAATTCTCGAAACCTTTACTGTAGTGTGTAGAATATCATTGATAATCTAATTTCAGTGAGCTGTGGTGGTGTATAGATATGTGAAATTTCACCGCAGGTATATGTTGGTAATCTATCAGCTAAACTATTTTTGTTATTCGAAATATCTTACACCAACAATTTGATATTTAATAGTGAAAGGTTATTTGGTTCAACATCATCATTAATTAATATTAACGTTCCGAAAGTTTGTAGTAGTAGTAGGAGGAGGAGGAGGAGCCATCTAATATAAAGGTTACTTGGTTTTGCCAATGGTTCCTATTTAAAAAAAAGTAATTTCCGCTAAACTGTTTATTTTAGATGACGTCTTATTTTTGTCTTTGTGCAAACAACGAAAGTAAATGCTAACACTAAATTCACTAATTTTCTCCTATTAGCCTTTTCATTGAATGTAATACAAAGTGAATTACCCCTGTATACATATAACTAAGATATATATATATATATATTGGTGACATTGATTAATGTTGGAACCGATTGCATCACATTTAATTACAGGCTGGTATGGGTTTTTGTGCACTACGACACTGAAACTCTAAGTGATGTTTGTGTTCTTTTCTTTTTGTGTTCCCCTCTTTTCTTTGAAGTGACCGTATCTTATCCACATATTTACAGATGATTCCTGACGGCTTTGCAATACAATGAAGTGTTTCGCCTATAATAAACTACTTTGATGTTTTTCTCTGTGTGGTGCAGTAAAATGAATACACATTGAAGTGTTTTATGTATTGTGTTTCAGATTTATTTATGTATTTATTTAACATATTTAACTTTACTAATCGTTTATTTGCTTTAGTCTTCATTGTTCATGACCTAATGATATGCATAGAACGTGATTTCTTGTTTAGATATACACCGATATTCATGATGTATGCCGCAGGTGTTTGTTGAAATCAACCAGAAATGTATTAACCATGTAACCATCCATTCACATAAGTCCAACCGACATTAGTTTGAAAGCTTTTGTCGATTACCCTATTTGATGAATCTCTTTTTGTTAAGATCATTTCCCAGTTATAGTTAACACCATAATTTTTTTTTCTTCTGAAAAATGTGTGACATTTTAAGCGTAAAATCATAAGTAATATAGGTGAGGAAGGTACGGTAACTAGTAAACATCCCGGAAATAATACCAATGAGTGAATATGAATTTATAAAAGTAGCTGCGTAGAAAATGAATATTGATCAGGTTATTTCTCATCACTGTAGGCAATCAGACAATACGAATTATGTATGACCTGAATGTGTTAAGTAAGCATAGTGGTTTTTGAGGCAAACTTTCAAATAGTTTCCGCTTTGTTTACCACAGAATTTAATTTAACAATGTGGGTATTTTTTTTTAGAGACAAGATGACAGACATTTTGTGACCAAAATTTATTCCAGGCATGCGTTACGTGTTGGTGTATGCGCATCACTATACTTTAGAGGGGCTGAACCGTGTATTCCTTTACTGCTTATGGTGTTAAGATTATAGAATAAGTTGAACAAAGTTATTTAACATAAATTTTCCACTTAACGATGTCTGTTAATAGGGATTATTTACAAACTGCATATTTCAATGGAGGAGTGGTGAATTTTTTAAATAAACATCGTCAAATACTCGGTACCGATGTCAAATGCATTCACCGTTTTAAATATTTAAAAATTCCCTCAGAACTAATCTACTAGTTACTCATGAAATGTCAGCGTGAGTACAAGAGATTCATTTGAGTCAATAATGGAGCCATTAATCTGAAAAAACGGTTGTATTATGCAACACTTCTCTTTACTCTACGTATGACTGTAAGATGTACTTACTGAAAGCAGAAAATATAGAAAGACCATAAATATCTTCTTAGCGTCATTTACATAAGTTGACACTGTATGGTAATCAACATTGTCTCAAGGTGTAATGCGTTGTGTCATGGAGGAAAGTAAAAAAAAACAGAGAGGTGGCTAGCACTAATCACATTCCGACCCACCAGTTCCTTTGACATTGGTTGGAACAAGATTAGGTCACAAAGCAAAGCAATAGCAATAATCCATAACCCACCACTATAAGTGTAGACTCTTTAATTTATACCTTTGGATATTCAGATGCTTTTATTGATGTAGCTGACAATGCTTCGCTGTATTAAATACGATTTCCCTGATCTCTATCATTGGTGGATGAATAAAATTTTATTGTTCATTTAGGTTCTGAATGGAACATAGGTCTTCAACAGCAGATGCATGAAGAAACGCATTTTTAAAAACACATTTTTTTTAAAGTAAAATATTTTCCATCCATAAAAGATGAGTCTAGAATACTATTGTTATGACATCAGTTAATGGTATGTAAGGCTAAATGTTTCATTTTTTGATACAATATATCAAGATTTATCTTTGTAGTGTTGTTAAATACTATTTCAGGCAGTTTAACGCAGCGTGTGCACTGTTATTACAATGTGCCAGTAATACTAGAGGTTTTTCAAAATATATTTTTTAAAGGCATGAAAGATTTATCTTCTCACTTCTTTTAAGATCGGATATTGTATATGTGATAATCGGTCGTTTCTTTTCCTTTTATTAACCTGAGTGGTTTTACCACTGCAGCGTCGTGATTAACAACGTGGCTGCTGGGCTTACTGATCTCATTGTAAACCACAGGCTTTTAATATAATGCAGTTTTTTCTTGTCTAATTGCGTTCTTTATTCTTTCTACCCTATGGGTTTCAGCCTCAGTGTCCCTTCCATCGTAAGTGTTAGTCTGCAAGATAGGGAATATAATATTTCTGAGATCAACCAGCAAGTAAACATCAGCATAGCATTTTATTACAGCATTTGAAGATCCCAAGTTTTATATCAATGAACTTAAGTAGAAATATATATATATATATATATATATATATATATATATATATATATATATATATGGGGTGAATTGATCTTATCGATAATTGCTGTTTTATATGTCCCTAAAGTCATAACCTTAAATATATACATATATATAAAACTGCAATCATTAATTCAATTTTTTTAAAGTATACGAGCACATTTGTTTCAAATATACATTATTTGTTTTTTTTTTGTTTAGAAGAAATCTAGATGTTATCTTCATGCTTGAATGTTATGTTTTTGTAAAGATTAGTTTTAGTCAGAAACTTGCTGGGATTTTATATACTATACGTCGCTCTTAATAATGAAAGATACCTTACATGTATGGTCTTGTTATATTCTTCTGACATAAGATAATGTAAGGCGTAAATATTCAGGTGTGTGAATTTGATGTGAAAAAAATATCCCAACAATTAGTATAACTATTGGTGGTAATTCTGCTCGAAATACTATCAAGGTTAGAACTTATTATGTGTATGTGCTAATTACACATAGACTTGTCAACACATGAGGATAAACAGTAGATTTTAAAGAACACTATGGTGATAATTTGTGATCCTGTGATAGCAACTTGAATTAATAGTTAACTCATCTCACTAATATTTTGCTTATTTGTATGTGAGTTTTGTGTAGATCATTGAAAACCAGGGAGCAATGGGCAACTGTTTCTTCCCATTTCGGGACTCTCCAGCATTGCTCACTTACGACCTCACCAGGGATTGAACTTGATATCTTCAGATCAAGCAGGTCGACCACTCGAAAACTTGTGCTGAAATTCAATGATCAATGCATTCTAACTTTGTCTGTAATCTGCATAAAACTACTGAACTGTGTTGTTAGTCTTCTACAAAATATAACGCGAATGGGTGATTACATATCATGTATCAGTTTATGGTCATTCTTCACCTATTGTGATCTCTTTACTTAAATAGAAAGAAAAGCAGTTTCACTATATGATTCAATCGAAAACTTTGATTTTGCAAAATTCTGCTATTACACTTATATGTTTGAATAACGCAATAATAAGAACAACTTTTCCAGGATGAGATGGATTCCTTTCATTTCATAGAAGAAATAAAAAGACTGTTCTTATATTACGTCATACAAATATTCTTATTATGCCCAATTCAGTAACCATCAATATTGTCAATTCTAGTTAATATTGCACATTAAAATTAAATAGAGAAATTAATCAACATGTATGTATATGATGAACTTACAGATTAAGCAATTCTGTATACCCTTGTGACAGTAGACTGTGTGATGCATTTACGTTTGTTAATTGTGTCGATATTGTTCTTGATGCTGTTGTTGCTGTAAACGATGTTTCATTCATTGTCACTTTCAATGATTGTATCAATTAATGTCTTAGATAAAAACGTTGGTTTAAGTACAAATTGAATGGATTATGCATTTCACATAGTGACTAATGCTTTAAAGAATCAGTATTGTTTAACATCACACATATGGATATATAAGTGTCATAACGCCAGGATAAGATCTCAGTTGTTTCTGTTATGTTAGTTTAATTATTTCTGCTTAAGTGTGCTACAGCTTGCAATTATATATATATATATATATATATATATATATATACATATTCATTACATAGAGTACGGACATGTCATAATTTCTCCTATCCAACAGGATTTATGTCTCCTATGTGTTTATGTATGTATGTATGTGTGTGTTTATCATGCGTGACTCAGTTTTCTATTCATGTTTAAATAGGGGAACAACTTGGATGCGTAGAAAATTGAATGTGCTAATTTTTTTTTTAAAATTCCTATCTGATCAAGTTAATCTCGTCAACCTTAAACTCTACCAAAGACACACACACACACACACAGACAAATAAAGACACAGAAACATATGATTATGAACAATTTGAAGATTTTTGCCAATATTGGATGTGATGTGACAGTAAACATAAAGTATTACGCATTTTGATGATCCACTGCAGCTTATCTCCCATTTTCTTTTCTATTTTCTTCATAATTTCTGTCGTAAAACGTTTTCGCGAAATGAGAATCGTATTCTTTTAAGATTCTCCTGCTAATGTTTCATTTTCATTCCTACTATTTTCTGTCAGTTTTCCTTCTAATCCGTTAGTTCGACTGGTGTATTAAACGAGCCCTCTTTAAATATAGATAGAAAAGACGAAGAACGAAGACGTATGAATATCATTTTGAAGATATATATATATGGAAAAATCACCAGTTTTATAGTAATTCAATGTATAAGCTCTTACCGCAGACACTTGACGACGACATTTGACATTATTTCTGATAAATCTTTTCTACAGAAACCATAAGAATCTGTAGTTCATAAGGTTTCATCGACTGAATAAATCTTTCGCTTTAGTGTTCTAACATGCATTAGTGAGTCAATGGTTCAATACTCGCCAACCAATGTACGTCTTCTGGGGTTCGATCTCTGGCCGACGCACTTCTAGTCCTCGCTAACCCGATAGAAGGTAGACCTGGTAATCAGGAGAGGTTAGAAATGAGGCTAGTGACCTCACCCCATAGGAATAGAACTACTGCTACTGAATCACAACAGTTAGTTTAAGCTACTTGGGAAGGTGTAGACTTCCTGGTTGGGGTCCTCAGAACGGTAAAAACCAATGAAGACTGGCGACAGTTGGTGATTTGGCTCAAAATCGTTCTCGATAATGGCGCAGATTCATCCACTCCTTGTGATTTATGATTTCCAATGAAACTGTTTTGTTCTTCGTTATTACTCTTCCTTTGTCTCACATCTCTGCTTACTGTCTCTATTATGCTTTTCTTGTACTTTCTTCTCTTGCTTTGTATGCTTTATGGAAGCAGTGTGGCGACTTGAACTGGTGCACATCGGTGCAAAGTTCTATGTCGAAAACAGACAGACTGACTGCTACTGAAACTTCTTCAAAGCTGAAGCGTGAAGCCTTATTGTTTCAATCGGAAGTCAGAGGAATAAAATGTGTAGTAAATATTTTTTTTAAAAATTATGTTCGTCCGTTGAATATTCTATAGGCAGTTGTCGATGACAGAAAATGGAGTGTGTGTTACACACTAGATTGTCAGAAAATGAAAAGAAATTTTCCAAAGAGTTTCTGAACAACCACATCATTAAGAAATAGTTTTGAGGAATGTTGGCTTCATATGAAAAAAAAGAATATCAACGTTTTGATGTGTACATATAGAAAGTTTGAAAATTTGTCTTACCTTACATAATTCTTATTATTTTAAAATTTCCATTCCTCTCTGTGTGAAGACATTTAATGAACTCAGTTACAAAATTAGCGAATTTAATAAACGACGCAAAAAATTTACAGTAGGCCTTCATTAGTAATTCATCAATACTTTTGAAGCATACAGTATATAAATCCGCGTTAATAAGGTTTATTACGAATAAAATAAATTGCGTACGTGTATTTCCTAATAGGTTTAGTTGGATATTCTGTATGTGTGGATTTATTTGCAGTTTCGCTTATTTCTAATTAGTATTTATTGCTACATTTTATCTCATTATCTATGACTGCTGAGACATAACTTAGAATCTTAATGTTGTAAGTTTATATTATTATATAATTATTATTATTCCCTTGGGTTTCAAGTGGAACTTAAGGCTTCTTCAACACATCTCCACTACGTCGTATCTTCTACTGTCCTCTTCAGTTGGGTACATGACTGCCCATAATTTCTCATCTCCCTCTCCCATGATCTCCTACTTGTCACCCTCGGATGATACACTCGTCGCTTCCTATTGGGATCCCACTCGAGCAATTCCTGGCTGGCGCGCGATGTTATGTGATGATCTCCTCAGAGTATACTTAATCCATCTCCATTTTCTCCTCTATGTGTGTTGAACGACAGGTTCTTGGTTAGTTTGTTCCGAACAAGAGGAGTTTCCCGTTACTTATTCTTTCTTGTCGACATTTGATCTTCAATATGCAGCTGTTTATAGAAGTCTGCAGTGGCTTGACTGTTGGAAATGCTTCCCACGAAAAACACTCCTAGTTTCTGACTGGTATAGAAAAACTGACTGACTGTGCTGAAAATCTGAATCTTGTTATTTATACTGAATGCAGAATATTTGCAAACTGCTTTCAGATTGATGAAGGTGTAACTTGCCTTTCCGATTCTGGCTTTGACATATGCAATCTATCCATTTTCTTTCTGCATATTTCCTGGGCACTGGTGCATTGGTTAGTGCGCTTCCTAGCGGAGGTTTTTGTTCTTCATTCTTTTTGGCCCGCTGTTTGATCTTCACTATCGAACAGAGGCAAGAAACAAGAGTGAATGAAAAGAGTCACCTGAATAATTAGATGGTGAAGTATAAGGCGTGAAAGCGTGAAAACAAATATTTTAGAGAGTTGTAGATACATTTCAGTGGATAGCGTCAACATCTGAGATGTTTATCAACTTCAAGTATTTACTAAATTCAAGTATGAATGATACCGGTAGTTGTAAACCATCAGGATGCTTGTTGGCTTATATGTCTTCTTCCGATGACAGGGAAATTAAGCACGGGGATACGAAATGTCTGTACCATGTTTGAGGTTATTTTAGTATTTCAGATTAGTAAATTTTTAAAACTTGGACATTGTTGTAGTATGTATGTATTTTCATATCAGTTTGTTTATACGATATATGCGGCTCAGTGAATGAATCATTATTATATACTGGTCGACTTTTCGAGTACACTTCATTGTTCATAATCATACGAACTGCGATGAATGACACTACTTCGAAACTCAGCTTTTATAGTTGTTGTTCTTCTTTCTTATAGGTCGTGTTCGTAGTAGAATTTGTTTAGATATCCGTGACTTGTGTTAAATCATACATGTGTTCTTAGTTCAATGAATGAGTAGCTTTTAGGAGTGTCACCTTATCTCATCCTATGGTATAGTTATATATAACTACATGAAGTGCTAGATTTCTAAATTTTTATCTATTAGTCTGGACTATGCAAAGTATTTGACCTCTGCTAGTCTAGACGACCCTGTTCTACTAATTTGACTTATGCATTTTACCCCATATTTAATGCGAGTAAACTGCTTTATATAATGGGTTGCATAGGATGCTCTAACCAATATAATTTGTATTTATGCCTTATAATAATCATGTGTGAGGTTTCAGGGTTTCCCAGTTCTTATACTAGCACTATTGTTGTTGTTGTTGTCATCTTTCTGTATACATTTCTTATTCACATCGCCCTATTTTGCCGTTTTTATCTTCTGCCTTATAATCTACTATGTGCTTCCTGACCAATTCATCGAGGTAATTGTTGAACGTCATCTCTTTTTACTATTAGTTGATGGGATGAACTGAAATTCAACTACTGCTTTGAATGTATGGCATTTCTGTGTTTAACTTTCCGTCTTATTTTTCTTTCCAATGATGCAATGTCACGTTGGAAGCTCCTCCTTTGTCACTTTTGAAATAATAAGTATGTTGAATTGTTTATACCACTGAATATGTGTTTTGAAAAGACCTATTCATGTCGTATCTTTATTGTTGTGAGTGTGTCACCCAGATACCTTCACCGTATTTTGGGCATAGGGGTTGAACGTTTCAAGGGTTAACTTTACTTAAACTCTTTAGAAATATCTCTGACATAATTGGGGATATCAGAATGCCTCTGCTGACTCCATCAGTTTCCTTGTACGTTTTTCCTTGAAACCTAATTAACTTAGGAGTCAGGCATGACTGCATTTTTAGAATGATGTCATCTATTTTTACTTTGGTTTTAAGCTCTTATTTCTGATACAAGAGTTTCAAAGAAACCAGTAATGGCTGATAATACCTTTTCTGTTATGCCACAGATTGCTTCATTATGTGCTGTTATCTGGTACTGTTTGATTATTCCCCCCCCCCCCCCCAAAAAAAAACGCTTCATGATAAACCGAAAGCGCTGTTAAATTGTGCGCTAGTAAACAATGCAGTTAAAAGTAAATGATTAAAACAATGATAGATTAGCGGTGTGAAGCTTGTATGATTGTATAAGGTGGAAATCTCTTGATAGTAAGTCACCTCAATTTTATATCAGTTATGCAATGTTTCACTTTTTCAATAACAACCGTAGGTTTTAAACTGCGGAAGATCGCCCTTCACACAAATGTTGACATTCTAATCATTTAGCTGATATACTGGACTTGCTTAGATTATTTTGGACTGGCCTTTTTTGAGTAACAAATACTACTTCAGTTTAGACATATTATATATTTGAAAAAAGTCATTTGACGAATGATTTCTCTCCTGTCTTGTGTACTTATTGTGAAAGTCATAAAACTAAAAGTGAATTTCTAACCGACATTTCCCAAGTCTCTCACTTTTCGGGTTTATTCTACTTTTGAAATACAAAATAGTGATTTCTGCCTTCCGAATGTTGCGCTATTTCTCTCTCTCTCTCTGTCTGTCTGTGTCTTGCCGTGCATTCCATTCAGTATTTTTAATTTGCTGAGATGGTCTTTCCGATTATACACACTTCCTGTTTTAATTTTACTTACACTTAATGTCAGCTTTATCCTAGGTCTCTTTTTTCCATCTATTCGCCCGGCTGGTCAC